CGATTTTTTTAACATAATCACATTGTGTTGCTACTTTGATGATTGATATTCGTACATATAAACAATCCTGCGGTTATTTACTGTTAGAGTTCATCCACAAGTAGAAGGCTTCACCTAGATTCAAGAGGATTTGACTGTACACATGTTTTTGAATAAACATATGACTACAAGTCAGAAGTTGTTATACACATGCCACAAGAGATTTTATTGCATCAAGCAAACATACTTCAAATGTGCATGTCACTTATTTTTGGATAGCCATTACTACACTATAGTTGACCCCTTATGTTCTCACATCAGATTTTTCTAGCCGGATTTAGAATATGACGCAAGGTGGATGTCACTACCGCCATTGACGAGGGCAAAAAGGAATATAAGTCGCAATACATGTGGGGTATTGTGTTGAAATAAAGAACAGAGACAAGTGTGTATTGGCGAGGAGGGATGGGATGTGATATGTTTTGTTATCCCGTTGCAACACATGAAAAACATCAAATGTGTATGTCACTTATTTTCAGATACCTATCACCGAATTCCCCACTATAGTTGACCTCTTATGTTCTTGCATCAGATTTTTTTTCTAGCAGGTTGATGAGGGAAAAAAGGAATATAAGCGGCAATACATGTGGGGATTTTGTGTTGAAATAAAGGATAGAGACAAGTGTGTACTGGCAAGAAGGGATGCAATGTAATATGTTTTGTTTTCTCGTTACAACGCACGGAAAACTTCAAATGTGCATGTCACTTATTTTGGATAACCATTACTGAATTTCCCCCACTATACTCTTTTTTAACACAGTACAATCGAAGTCGCTCACATACACGAGCATACACTCACCCCTAACAACTCACGCACGCATACCCTACCCCTATGAGTATCTTCAAGAGACTGAGCTGACATAGTATCTTGATATTTTACGAAGTATATTTTTGCATCGGATTTTTTAGCAGGATTTAGAATATGACGGAAGGTGGAATATGACGCAGGGTGGAAATCACTGCCATCTTTGATGAGGGTAGAAAGGAATATAAGCGGCAATACATGTGGGGTATTGTGTTGAAATAAAGGACGGAGACAAGTGTGCATTGGCGAGGAGGGATGGGTTGTGATATGTTTTGTTCATCCGTTGCAACGCACGGGCATTTTTGCTAGTAAGAGCTCATAGGGATACAATGTACTCCCTCCGTCCGAAAATACTTGTCATCAAAATGGACAAAAAGGGGTGTATCTAGAACTAAAATACATCTAGATACATCTCCTTTTATTCATTTTGATGACAAGTATTTCCGGACGGAGGGAGTAGATCCGAAGGATTAAGGGCCCACATATAGCGTCCTAAAGAAAGTTCTAGAGTATGCTTAGCGAGGCTACGTGCCTCAAGATTAGTTTCTCTTCCTTCAAAGATGAAAGGACAACAAGAGAACTGCTAGGATTGTAGGATTGATCTCCTTAATAATACTAGAATGTAGCCCACCAGTATTTTCATGGATATCTTTGATTACGCCTTGACAGTCTGAAGCTATTTGTATGTCTGCAAGTGATAAATCAAGGGCAAGTGAGAGCGCCTCTCGACAAGCCAAAGCCTTCAATAATGCTGGGTCAGTCACACCTTGACATTTTACCGCCTCAGACAGGCGGGGGACGAACGTACGTGTTGGGATGGATGCAGACCGTTCAGCCCGGCTAGCCGTGAAGAATGCGGTTTGTTTGGATCGTGACTAGCCTCAGCTCGGCCTACATATTTTGTTTGAAAAAGCATGTACTCAAAAGGTGCACAAAACATTGACCAGTGATTTTTCTCCGAGATCTCGAATGTTTTTTTGTGGATGAAATTTTGCAACAACTGCACTTTATCATGTTTGATATTGTAAAGTTTCAGAATATTTTTTTGGAACACGCTTGATACGTGTGTTTTTAGCTTTTTCTGTAAACCCGGGTGTAGCACACCCAGATATAGCCACATCTTTTCATTCATTGTTGCGTTGGCAAGTTCATAATGTTTTCCATATGCATTTTTTATTTTGGCAAGTTCTGTCTTTTTTTAGTTGTGGTTATTTCCACAAATGATTGGGATTTTTATTTTGTCTTTTTCTGACAATGGAATTTTTTTCGTCTTTATTTAGAGAGGAGACTGTCTCTGTTCCATGAAAACCTAGTACTAGGTAGCAGGCACGTGTAATAGAGAAGCAAATAAAATTGCTCATGAGGTCACTAGATTAGCTAGATTTTCTTTGATTTCTGATTGATCTGAGGAAGCCTTAAATGAAATCGTAACAGTCCTCATAAACGATGTATTGGTTATTTTTAATAAATAAAGTATCTGGATTTATTTCAAAAAGTAGGTAGCAGGCACGGATAATCGTCTTCTTACATTGCTAAACATCTCTATTGACTCTGTTATATTAGTACATCATGGAAACGTATTTTGAAATGTCATAAAATTCTGGCAAAATGTTTTGCGCGTACACCTCGACATTCTATGTGCTCGCAAAGTCGTTTTACGAAAAAAAAAACAGTTTTTATGTCGCGTGTGAAAAAGACAAAATTCAGTGTTAAAAATGGCTTTTCACGACATTTCTTTGTCTTTTTTACGCAAGTCACAGAAAATGCCGGTTTTCCACAAAAACTTGGCGTGCGCACATAGAATATTAAAAGGTACACGTCAAATTTTTGTTCAGAATTTTTTTGACATTTTAAAATGTTTTTCCGATGGCAAGAGCATATGCTTTCATGTGCCAAAGTGAATTTATGTAGATTATGTTCTTTAAAAAAACAAGTGCTTACTATGATGGAGAAGTAAATTCTCGCATCTACCTGAAATATTAGTGAAGACACGCAATGCACGTGCACACTTACTAGTAAACCAAAGAGCACCATGACAAACCTGTAGCTTAAGGCCCTTCTTAGTGCTCCATCATGTGCTAAGCATGTCACATAAGCAAAAAAATGACATGGCACAACAATTAAGGAGGGGAGAGAGCATTTTGATGACCCCAGAAAGAACCAATGCCAAGCGCGTGAACCTAAGCAAACCACTTAAATGAAACAACTTGACCAATGCATGAAAGACTTTAGGTGTTAACTCATTAAATAAAACGAGCTTAGCAACAATAAGTTAAGCACCTATGCATTGGGGAATTAAGTTGATAAGCTATTTAATGCACTTAGCACCTCATCTAAGCACATTTGCATTGGAAGAGGCCTAAGAGAAAGCAAAATACCTCTAACATTTATCAAGTGATCAATGGACAACAACTTAAATGCATGGACATAGTAATATTCAGCATGTTCATGGAGTAGCCCATTCCATTGTCCAAACATTTATCAAATGGTCAATCGGACAACCTAAACTTAAACCCTTGTACTCTCGAAAATAATAATAAACCCTTAACATTTTTTTTGCGGGAGACTTATATAAACCCTTAACATAATAGCATTCATCATGTTCATGGAATAGCATGCTCCATTGCCCAGCCAAACATCTGTGAAAAGGATTGACAACAACAGACACATATTGCAAAATGGTGCGAGACAAACTCTAAACAATTGGGCAGCATAAATCCACATCCTAACGAGGGGATATACGTCTTCTTGAACGAGATGAGAGAATTCCCCAGAATCTTGAGAATCGGATTCAAGATTCCGGGAGAAGTTGGGTGAAGGATCGATTCTTAAGATTCTAGGAGAATCGGCCAAAAGAACTGGGTCGAAGAACGCCATGGGTGCGCGCGGCCCCTTTTAGTAGTAGTAGTACATACCAGTCGGTTCATCGGATGAGCTAGCTGTTGACGACATGGCAGTTGGCCCTGATCTCGCCGGCGCTTCCGGTGAGCGGATGTATGTTGCCCATCTTCACCATCGCCTTGACGAAGTCGGTCCGGAAGAGCGCGGGGTTGGCGCCGTACTGCCGCACCAGCGCGTCCTCCGACCCTCCGTCGAAGAGCGCCTGGTCGGAGTGGAACAGGCCGCGCTTCGCCAGCAGGTTCCGGTAGTAGGCGGCGTCGAACGCCGAGGGGGTCTGCACGTCGATAGGCGCCAGGTTGGCGTTGCCGGAGCTGGGGCACGTCCGCCGCCGCAGCGCCGCGAAGGACGGGTCGATGTTGGCGTCCCTGTAGATGCGGGCGTTGAAGTTCAGGCACTGCGCCAGGCCGATGGTGTGCGCGCCCGACAGCGCCGTCATCTCGGCCGGCGAGAGCCCCTGCCTGCCGAACAGGGAGATCAGCGTGGCCAAGCCGGCGGTCGGCGGCGGGAGGTTCACGTTGGCCAGAGCCCGGCTCGCCGTCGTCGAGTCGCGACGGCCGAGCGGCACTCTCCAGGTCGGCCCGCCCAGCTGCATGCCGCCAAACAGTTTCATCAGGACGAGCGACAGTGCGCACTAGCTAGAAGAAGAAGCAGCTCCCGATCGAGCCGGTGAAGTTTTGCACGCACCAGGAACGTCCCGTCGCGCGCGGTGAGCGCGAGGATGTCGGCGCAGGAGACGACGCCGGGGCACGCGGCCTCCACGCTGGCCTTGATGGCGTCGATGACACCGAAGCCACGGATGGACCCATTGTTCGGTGCGGCTTGCTTCTCGCCGCCGGCGTCGAGAAGAACCGAGCCGTCACAGCCCTGCAGTACATGCATGTCAGAATTATCATGCGACCTCAAGTATAGACTGTGTAGTCAAGTACTGAGACGAGTCATCAGTCATCACCTGGACGAAGCAGTCGTGGAAGAAGAGCCTGAGAAGCGAGGCGCCGACCCGGCGCTCGTTGCGGATGGCCTTGTTCATCCCCGCCCGCACGATGGCCTCCAGGTTGGGGCAGGAGGCGGAGTAGAAGGTCGTCGAGAGCTGCGCGTGGGCGGCGCAGGAGAGGAGCCAGACGGCGAGCAGGCGGTGCAGAAAGGTAGGAGCGGCCATGGCGGCGATCAGGTTAATTGGATTAGAGATGCCTAGCTCGCAGTGAAGCTGCTCTGACAGTGTGGTGTTATTGATCACTGGCTTCGGACAAGCTCGCCTATTTATAGCTCTTCCAAGCAGCGGTGCATGCATGATTATTTGTGACTGCGGTGCGACGGCATCCGGATGGTAGGAACTGGGACAAACACTCAAACAGCATCTCCAACAGATTCCAAAAATTCCACGCAAAAAAAAAACAGATTCCAAAAATAAATAAATAAATAATCATCGCTGGGCCGAAGATATTGCAGAAGAGATACTCCCTCCGTCCCATAATATAAGAACGTTTTTGTCACTACACTAGAGTAAAAAATGTTTTTATATTATGGGACAGAGATAGTACAACATAATGAACATGATCAGCTAGTCAATTTGTGGACTGTACTAAATTTTCTCAACCTTGACGATTCTTGGCCAGATGTTTTCGAGTGGAGATGGTCCATGGGAGCCTACTCGGCTAGTTCGGTGTACAAGTTGTTGTGTCAAGGCTTGGTTAGATTACTTGGAGCTTCAGCCATCTGGAGGTGTTGGGCTTTGTTGAAGTGCGAGATCTTCGTCGGGCTTGCACTCCAGTGCAGGTTGTGGACGGCAGATCGGCGCACGAGACAAGGCCTGCAAGATGATACTTCAGCTTGCTATCTTTGTTTGCAGGAAGAGGACACGGTGGCATCGCTGCTTTGCTTGTGGGAGACGAAAGATTTTGATTCAATGGTCGTTTTGGTATGAAACTTGTGGAAGCAGCACAATGCTAGAGTTTTTAGGAATAGAGAGCAACAACATTCTGTGAGGGAGCTTGTTCTAGCGATATTGGAGGCGTTGAGCATTATGGAGAAGTGGCGGCGCGGTGTGTTTAGAGGATTTTATGAGAGTATAAATTTGGTAGAGTAGGTGTGAGTGTGGTAGTTTTCCCAATGCATTGTTCAGCTTATTTCAGGGTCTTGTAATTATATTTCTCTCTTCTATAAAAAAATATGACACATTATTAGCGTACTCTCGAAAAGAAGAACACAAGGCTCGGGGGAAATCACAAGCAATGTGGTAGCGGTCATCAATAGGTTGGATCATTCCGATCTACGCTTCTCTTCATCGACGGCGGTTGTTATTCTGGTACACTGGTCTTATGGGGCATTAACACGTCGACTTTAGCGTACTCTCGAAAAGAAGAACACAAGGCTCGGGGGAAATCACAAGCAATGTGGTAGCGGTCATCAATAGGTTGGATCATTCCGATCTACGCTTCTCTTCATCGACGGCGGTTGTTATTCTGGTACACTGGTCTTATGGGGCATTAACACGTCGACTTTTCGACTGTCTATTACAATAAGGTTCGCCCTGCTCCGATGAGGGAGAGGCGAAGACAACGGCGCGCATTCGGCTCGCTCTGATGCTAGTAGTCGTCACTAGGTGATCTACGGGCCTAGATGGATTTTTTACTTTTGGTGTTCTTTGTACTATCTTAACAGTTGATAAATAAATCAAAGTTATCCTCAAAAAATAAAAGATGGCCGCTGCTACTCCAGAAGACATGTCAGCGTTCTTCATTGCCTTCACAGCCTCTATGTTGACAGAATCGACCAGAAGTTTGCTGCAACTTAGAGACTGAGCCAATCGCACAACAAATTTCAATGCCACTGCATCTGTAGATAGTGCATCAACGCACATGTTGATCTTCCGGTTACCTCCCCCTATAAGGTCTTATTTGGTTTGAAGGAATTTCATAGGTATTTTTCATTCAAACAAATTTCATGAATGTTTCGTAAGGAACCATGCGTACTATTTTTCAAATAGAAAATCTAGCATCCACTTCAACCTCTTATTACATTTGTTTTTAATGTGGCATCAACCACTTCATACTAATCCTATATGATTCAAGTGGGCATGCCACTCCAATCCTCTGTTTTTTTTGTTCTCACATTCTGAGAATCCAGCGAATCAAAGAGGGCCTAGAGGTTTGCGATAAATCTCACAAGACAGCTTAGCGGCACCCTGTAGTGTTCATCTAATTGAAGGCATCTTTGCACCATAAGTTTGATTACGTATTTCCTTCTTGGAGACATCATTTCAGAGCAAGCAGCTCAGAAATGCATGAAGTTGCGTCACTTATGTCTTACTTTTTTCTTGAGGGGTTGCACGGACAGCGCTACACAAGCCGAAATGCATGCCTTTCAACCACAGTTCCATGTTTTGTCAGTAGCCTATACTGATGTTGGCCCATTAAGCAACCAGACGTACATGTCGCCGTCGGCTTTGAAAAGTCCCCCAGCAAGCAGCAGGAAACAAAGGAGGTCAAAATCTGTTAGACGGCGGCCACATATTTTGCATTCGAACAGAGCAGAGACAACGCAGAACATTTTTATTTTCCCAGGTGCACAAGCTGGAAGAGATGGCGACCTTGAACTGCATCACACCAGCTGCAATCAACATTCTAACTAAACTAACATAAGCACAACAAAAACTGGTTACTTCCTAGTGGTCCCTGATCACTCAGATGCCAACTACTACAATCTTCTCTAGTTATGCCCAAGAGAGAAAAAAAAATGTTCTCTAGTAATGAACTCAAGGTTACATTGTGATTGCACACAACAAACTGGTGAGCACCAAGGAGTATGACATGAGTGGGCCAGCAAAAGAAACCACGTAATTTGTGTGACCGTGCGGAAATTTAACAAGATAAGGTTTGCTGCAAGTTTTTGACCACAAAAGTATCATCTGGGCGTGTCAGAACAGCAACCCATCCAACTGCTCAGCCTGGTTATCACACGCCATGCTCCGCTGTGATAGGCCAGCCATTTGAAAGGAACCAGTTGCAAGTACCCCCAAAATAAAATGGTTCGTTCAGATTTGATTTATACTGACTTAGCTCACATGCGCCCTGCTATAGTCATCAGCAGCTGCCGATAGCGATGGTATAGTAACAGGAAATCCAGGTCCCATCTGCAAGAAAGTTCCTCCGATAAGAGACATAAAAGATAAGAGCAATCCGAGGAGATGCTGCCCGCCGTCAAATCCCAGGGCTCAACCCTGGACAGGCGGTGGAAACTACCAAACTGGAGTACGGTATGTGAAAATGAAAGATGGAAGAAGTTGGGACAATGCTCGTAAGGGTTACACTTGAACATGTTTAGGTGCAATATCACAAGCAACCTTACTTTCAGTTTACCCCACTAACAATGACAGAACCACTAGCAATCATTGCAACTCTTGATAGTACTAACATACTGGTCAAGCTGTACAGACACAGTATAGGTGTAGCATTTCACAAGACCTCTCATGGGACAATACAAACCAATAAAGCCAGAATCATGTCAGACAACTAAAATACCATCAGGGTCAACTTGATGCAAACCATTAGCAAAGTTACAAAGTACTCCCTTTGTCCCAAAATAAGTGTCTCAACTTTGTACTAACTTTAGTACTCTGCAAAATTGTACTAAGGTTAAGACACTTATTTTGGGACGGAGGGAGTACCTAGCAGTAATTTCACCTTTCTCTGTACATAGGGTCAACTTAGAGAGAGGAAGGATCCATGCTCTGAAGATAATAGTGCACTTGCTAGGGCTGCGAGTCCAGTACAAGCTTACTGTTTCTAGCACATTGCTCCATAACTTGCACAAAAGTACTCTCTCCAATTCATATTAATTGCCGTTCATTTAGTATAAAGTTGTATTAAATCAGAAAAAAATTATATGGATAAGAGGGAGTGGCATAATCGACAAATACGCACTACTAATACTACCTACTTTCAAGAGAACAGAAAGAGTTTTGCAGAAGAAAGCGTACATAATTTCAAATTTGTTTGGCACATGCACAAATTAGTGATAATGCCTGCGGGACAACTAGTACCAAAATGTCTGGGACTCGGTTTTTTCCTCTTTTTTTTCTTTTCAGTTCTGTTGGTCTTTCAGATTATGAAGCCATGTGCCCTTTTTCAGTCTTCTGTAGCCTTCCATATCTTATTTTGTAGAGTATTTATTATTGTTACTCAAATGCAAATTCAGTAGAGTCCTCCCATAATGTTGTCATAAAAAGGAATATAACATATAAGGTCGTAAGAAGATGAAAACCGAAAAGGTCTTTAACATGTTATTAATTTTGGGTGAAATATTATTGTGACATCCCTAGAAAGTGAAACCAATGATACATCAGATACAAGTGGAAGAGAAAAGAGCTTACTGTGCTACTCAGTGTGAACTTCTTCACGTATCCAACATATTTCGAAGCTGAAAGAAAGTCAGTGTTAGCAGCCTGGATTTAATACCATCATCACAATAATCAGAGAAACAACATGTAAATATCGAAACGTGCATGGAGAAATATTAATATCTAAGAATGAGCTATTGGGTAATTCGCCATCTGAATTAGGTACTCAAATTGATTTCTTAAACTGGGCACTGGCGTTTCATGTTAAGTGTCCAAAGTATTGAAACTGACAGAGAAAGGTCAAAAAAAAAGTCAGACTCAGAGTTCACGCACGGACACGAATTTTGGAACATGGTTCCAAGCGCACCCGTTATAAACAGTAAAATAAGAAAAATACTAGAAGAAACAAAAAAAATATGAATATTTTTTGTATCATACATGGCAGAGTGGTCTACTCGCATATGAAGTTTCACAAAAAAAAATCTGTGGTATATTCTAGGCAAAAAAGACAAAATCGGTGCTATAAAAAAGACACTGTTTGAAGTAATTTGGAGAACCGAAATTCTTTTCTTCGCTAAGAATGCCATCGGTGTCATTTCTGAGTGCATGTGAGTAGACCAGTCGACCAAGTATGATACCCCAAAATTTTAGAATTATTTGATTCTTTTGGCTATTTTTTATATTCTTTTTTGTAATGGGTGCTCGTGCACCCATGTTCACCTTTGTACTTTCATAATATATACCACAATATAAAATAGCTTGGAGTTCATAAATTTGTACTCCCTCCGTCCGAAAATACTTGTCATCAAAATGGATAAAAAAGGATGTATCTAGAACTAAAATACGTCTAGATGCATCCCTTTTTATTCATTTTGGTGACAAGTATTTCCCGACGGAGGGAGTAATTGAGTAATATTCACTAATAAGGTGCAATGTTGATACAAAATATTGGTATAAGCATGTTAGCAGCACCAGCCACTCACTTACTTTTCTTTAAGCCCACCGGCTTAGCAAGTAAAAGTGCATTTACGAAAGCACCAATATTTTCACGTAAACTCTCCTCAGAAAAATTGATCTGCAAAAAACAACACAAACTATAATGAGGAACGACACAGAATTGCAAAGTAAGGAGTTGCTTGACTATGTACATAATTATATTGATAAATTCACTAGGCATATGAGTATTAATATTGATGGCCATGTCCCATACCTTTCCAAGGCCAACATGCACTATGGCAGTTTTATCTATCTTGAAATCAACACGGCCTGATTTTGCCGCTTTGACAGCACCAAAAACATCATTTGTGACAGACCCTAACTATAAGATTCAAAGTGTCAAGAAAGGCAGAAACTTCAGTGTGATTCCGAAATAAAATGAAAAGGGAAGATGCCTACCTTAGGATTTGGCATCAAACCACGCGGACCCAATATTCTAGCGACCTGGAGAATCAGTCAGGTTGTTAATAATATGTCAAACAAGAAATAACATAGGTGTCCAAAAGCCCACACTGATACCTTTGAAAGCCGAGGCATGAACATTGGGGTTGCTATGCACTTGTCGAAACTTAGTTTGCCTCCTCCTAATATGTATAATCATAGGTGGAAAAAAGGAATTCCAATCAACAAGAATGTCAAACATCGTAGATGAAACTAAGGAAAACATAGGATGGGGTACTAGGGAGTGTGAGCAGGTAGCGATTGGTGATATTCCAAGGAAAATAAGTTCCAAAAACCATAACATACTAAGGCCTCCTTTGGTTCATAGGATAGGAATATTATAGGAATAGGAACTTCATAGGAAGTGAGATGACATGCATCTCAATTCCTATAAAAAAAGAGATGCCATTTGATGCATAGGATAGGAATTTTTCAATTGAGTCTAGGCTAATGTTTTTTTTCCTTTGAAATGTGAAGGATTGGACCCTATCCAACATAGGATTAGGAATCCATTCCTACAAACCAAAGGACTTCATAGGAATTTTTCCTTTGAAAATCCTATCCTATGAAATTCCTACAAGATTCCTACAAACCAAAGGAGGCCTAAAGGAAATAAAGTACCTTTGCGAATCTCCTCAATCAGCTCGTCGCCACCAACAACATCTGCTCCAGCTGCTCTAGCTTCCTCTGCTGCAGGCCCTTCCGCAAATACTGCTACCCTAACAGTCTTATAAAGAGAAGGACCTCAGCATGAAGTACTCATAGAAGACAAAGGCACCATTTGGGATGCAATAACTCTTTTTATTGTTCCTTACAAAACAGAGATGGTGTATACCCAATGCCTGTAAAATAGGCTGTGAACAATATTTAGGAAGGTACCTTGCCAGTGCCATGCGGCAAAGTTATGGCGCCACGGACCATCTGTATGCCAGGGAAAGTTTTGGTCAGTGTCAGAAGATAATTTTCCATTAATCTAACGTTCACAAGCAGATTGAAAAAAATTAAAAATTCATTAGGCAACTTGGCTATTCAACTGGAGAAGCATTAGTTAATCATCATTTATTAGCATGCACAAAACCTCTGGACAAGATTTCTTATTTATTTGAATGTGTTAGATAGGTCTCAACAGGTATAGAGACAAGACTTCAGCAGCATCCCTGTTAAATCACATAGCTTCTACACTGGTTTCAACACATTGGGGAACTTTGGCTTTGTGGCAAATACAATGTCATACACTAATATCAGCTGGGCTTTTTTACAAGAATCGACAAATTAACCCAATCAGTTAGCTTCTTGCATCTGTGTTTTTGTTGTCATAACTGGTTGATCCAGTCATAAAACCCTAGATCATGCCTCGTACAGGGAGGTGCTAGCCACATGAAGGAAAAAGGGAGCAAAAGTGCTGGAACATTGTGCATGCTGAATCACGCAGCACGCAGGCTGTGCTGTTTGTGCGTGGAACCAGAAGATATGCGATTGCATGTGCTTCAAAACCATGTGTATAAAATTGCATAAGTGTGTCAATTAGGTTTATCCGGTAATTGCAAGAAAATGGCGTACAAGGCACTGGAATTGCTAACCTTGCCAAATGACTTGGCTCAGTAACATGACACCTAGGTGACCGTTTTTTTAAAGACACTAAGTTGACAGTCAAATCAAACTTCAACAAGTAAGCAAGTAATAAAAGATCAACAAAACAAATGCTCTGTGGGATTGATACAGAAATCAAATACTCGATGCTTATGCCACGAGAACCACAGCTTCAGCCATTACCAGTGGCTTGAGCAAATGAGCTACTGTGAAAGACCAGGAAAGATCACATACACTCAAGTGAAACCAGAGTAAACAGGTCTTGGCAGTGCAGCAGCAAATGCAGCTGGCAATAAGTGATTCAGTAACATGGCAGGTTAAATTTCCATAGAGTAGCAATAGTGAGAAAATATGACAGGATAAAAGGTGTGCTTCAAGGTACTTTTTAAAGAAGCGAAGCAGACCTGGTCACCACGACGTGGATCAACACCTAACATCACATGAGCTTCCACTGTTTCGGTAAAATTCCGCTTCTTCTCATTTGCACTGGTCTGGAAGGAAACAGAACAAAGTAAGACCATTTGATTATTATTTTCTTGACTAAACAATTAGATTATCAAGTTTTGTGGAACATAAAATGTGTGAAACATAAAGCATTTCTACATTTTCCCACACTTGACAGCTTACAAGTCATCTTATATGTCCCATGAGAATTGAACACTGAACAAAGGTCTTGAATGTCTAGAGAGAAAGCTAATGTAGGGCCATAACACCATTCACAGCTACTTTTTTTTCTCCAGCATCACGGTGAGGTTTATGTTTTATGAACCTACAAAACTTAAGTTAAACCCCAATCGCATGCGGAGCTAGGAAAAACACATATTTAGTACGATTAAGATTTTCATAATTCACCGCTAAAATGCGATAGGGTTTGATTTTCAAGTTGTTAATAGAACATCACCATGCCCACTTCTATTTTTCATAGAATTATTTGATACCTCTTACACATGGTTTCCAGAGAGTTATTGCCAGGAGGGTAGTTTCCCAATGGACATTTTCCCAAACATCCTCCACAAAATAATCTCAGAAGTAACCACAGTGTCAGTACTCTTACAACCTACAAGCGTACTCTTCTGAAAATTACACTATCCTCTCTTCAAGTATATTTTTTATAGCTACTACACGTATACTACAGAATTCTGTCACCAATCACTGGCAGAAAAAATAAGCTTTCTTAGTAATGTTAGAGATCTTGCTTCATAGGGGTGTTGCAAGACCTAAACTGACAACTAATTGCAACTTATCATGTTAGAATCAATAATCTATTACCTAGCCGCTTGAGCAAGGACACGTTGAGGCTTTTCATCACAGAAACAATTCACCATGAATAGTTCGATCTAACAAAAAATATTGTCGAACGCGTGAACTTGGGTAGTTGACAGTTTTAGCTCAAAAAATCCTACAAGACTGAAAATGCTCCAAAGATCCTGTGTTCAAAGTGCCCCAGGTCGTTTGTGGTAGTTCAGCAGTGATACAAGTGTATAACACATGAACTTTAGTATATTCATTTAGGTTTCACTATAACAGAACAACATAACGTCATGTGTAGCATCTCAAATCTCAAATGCAAACCACATGCCTAGAGCGAAATTGTGGTGAATACTGGACAGTAACAGTAGCTTGCATAACATATTAACATGTAATGTGCTGTGAACTCTGACATGTGAAGGCATTATCAGAGAGGGGGACACTTGGCCAGCAAGCAGAAACGAAAATGGAGCCAGCAATGGCGCTGGATCAGGACTAAGAAGAACAGAGGAAGCAGAGAGTAAGACTCAGAGATCAGGCCCTGCCGGTCTCTGCCACAGCTGAAGTAGTGCAAAGAGAAAGATAACAAGGCAAGGGAGGCTTTGTCACCATTTAGTGGTTAACTAAGGGTTCAGTAAGATGGTACAGTACTAGTCTAGATCAGTCAGTTCCAGGTCTTCTGCTAGGGTATAAGTTGGCATCATTTTGGTTCAATCAACAAGAAAATCTATCTTCCGCTATGTTATAGTTAACCTAATCTAGTGATCTGTTTTTCCTACCAGTGCCATTAACATCTTGCGCCCATCACGACGCCTATGAACTCTCCCTACAATCTAAGGGCAAAAACAAGAATGCAATGAATGTTTATATCATCTACATACAAAGATCATATGCCAGTTTGAGAATGCTCAACTTGTTTTAAAGTTGTTGTGGAGAAACTAGAGTCTTGTTTGCATACAGGGTGTTGATGTTAACTAATATGGCAAAATGAAACAGAGTTCGATATTTCTTCTTTCTGTTAGCAGAACAAGATTTTAAACTACGTTTCTGTTGATTATAGCAACATCAGTTAGCCAAACAGGGTAATAAGTCAAATAAAACAGAATTGTTATAACCAACCACAATGCCAAAGGTAGCATAAACAAAATGGATTTGCTAATTCTCATCTACTCCCTCCGTTCCATAATAGGAGCATTAACAAAGTCTCATCTAACGCCTACACTATTTGATTAACCAACCACTAGGAGTTACATGAGACATAGTTATGTCCCATCTAGATGAGAGCTAGATACACCCTAAACAAAATAGGAGCATTCTTCCTAGTATGCTAGAATCCACTGTCACAGCAAAAAAAAAAAACATACATCAATTTCAGCTTAATCCCATCCTAAAATTTGTAGTCGCATTCCAATTAAACTGTGGCTATTTCATGAACACTCCTTCCCATTGACTAAGCAAACAAAGTCATGGTACTACTTCAAGTGAGGTACTCTTCTCTTGTGGAAATCTTAGTGCTATGAAACCATGTCCAAATTACACAAAGCTATGATCCCCAATCGCAACATAACGAGGTTTTTTTATTTGTGAGTTAGAACTGCGATGAACCGAATCACGAGAAGTGCAGACCTTGATTTCGCGGAGTGCGTCGACGAGGTCAATGGCGACCTTCTGCGGCCGCTTCGCAACGGGTATCAGCGATGGGTACGGCACCGTCTCCTCCTCCACCGGCACGCCGAAGACGGACCTCCTCGCCCGCTCAGCATTCATCTCAATCCGCTCCGCCTCGCCGCGCAGATCCTGCTCATTCACCCCCTGTCCGGCCCCTTCTTCCGCTGGCCGGTCTTCCGGAAGCGGCGCAACCCTGCTCGGGTACGACACCGGCGCGATCGCGGGCCCCGCGTCCTTGACGAACCGCACCTCTTGCCGCGTAAACTGCCGCGGCGGATTCGGCGGCTGCTGCTCAAATCTCCTGGTCGGCTGGTCCTGCCAATCGGGGCCAGCGCTCGGCGCATCCGGCCGGGGGGCCTCCTCGGGTGGGGGCTGCGGCTTCGGGGCGTAGGAGACGGGCTTGATGGTCGGCGGTGGGGGGTCGCCGGAGTTGGAGGTGGAGAAGCGGAAGAGCGGGAGGAGGCGATGGGGATGCGGGTGGCAGCGCGAGTGGGAAAGGAGGAGGCGGAGGTGAGCCATGGTGAGGGCGTGGCGGCGGCCGGCGGCGAGGGCTGCGGCGTGGGGTTTAAGTGAGGACGCGATGGGAGATGGACTGAAATGGGAGGGTTTCCTCTCTCATGGGCACTGGACTGGGCTCGATCCGGTGCACACTGCTATAGCACGAGCCGGCCCAACTAGGACATTTTGGTATAGACCCAATTGTAAAGGATTCTCGAAAAAAAAACGCGGACCAGGGACCACTATTTTCCCCCTTTTTTCCTTTTACTTTTTATTTATTTTCGTTGAAATTTGGGAATGGTTTTGAAAATCCGGGATCACTTTTTGAAATTCATAACGTTTTTAAAAACATGATCATTTTTTTAATTCGGGAACAGTATTTGAAATTCAATAAAAAATGAATTTGTCAACATTTTTTGAATCGAGGATCTTTTTTGGAATTCACAAACATTTTTTTGAATGGATGAACAATTTTTCTAGATGCATGAACATTTTTCGATTTTTTTAATGGACAAACATTTCTTGAAATTAAAAAAAATGAAATTCGCAAACATTTTTTGAATTCATGAACTTTTTTGGGAAGTTTGAACATTTTTAAAGAAAATCAGGAACAATTTTTAAATTAAGAACATTTTTTAAATCCCAAATATGTTTTTTCTAATTTGAGAGTCATGAACCGTTATAAAGACGGAATAAGGTTCTCCCCGCCTAACCCCTGTTCTGGTGGTGTTTCTTGCATCGTCGGAAGGCGAGTGGAGGTTTGTCACCGGCAGATCTCGTAGGATTTGGTCGGAATTTGTCTTCAGTGGATCCACATGTATCATGTCTTCGTTCATCTATATTCGTGTGTTTTACAGGTTGGATTCTTTCGATCTACACTTCTCTTCATTGGTGACGGTTGTTGTTCTGGTGTGTTGGTCCTAAAGGGTCTTAGCACGACAACTTCCCTATTGTCTGCTACAACAAGATTTTCCCAGCTTTGATGAGGGAGGGGCGAAGACGGTGGCTCGCCTTCGGCTCGCTCTAGTGCTTGTAGTCATCACTATGTGGTCTATGGACCTAGATGTTTTCGTTTACTTTTGATGTTCTTTATACTATTTTGATAGTTGATGAATGGATTAAAAGTTTTCTCGCACAAAAAAGAAATATAAAGGAAACAAAAAGTAAAAATGAAAGAAGAAAAACAAATAAAAAAGGAGTGCCCTGTCCACACATGGGAAGCGCGAAATGCGCGCGTGGGCACAAGGGGGTGTGCGATTGGTGGCTATATGCCGACCTACGCGGCAAATAAGAGCTTCCATCCAGTTCCACATCTCCTACTGAAGGCTCATTGTGTCCAATAGTCGTTGCTTCACACATGAAAGGGCGAGGTGAGGCATACAGATATCTCTACTCCTAATGTCTGAGTTGATAGTCTCGCCTCACTCCCACCTTATCCCACCAGTCCTATTCTTCGCCCACCTCATCCCACCTGTCCTATTTTTCGCCCACCTCATCCCACAGCATTGGGCCGGCCCATTAACGTGTACATGAACGCAATCCTCGCATCGCCTGCCCTCCTAGCGATCCTCCCGACGTCCTCGCGCCGCCTTCCTCATTTCCCCGATCTCCTCTACCAGGCGCCCTCCTCGCGATCCTCCCATCGTGTCCTCGCACCACAGCCTCTTCTCCCTGATCTCCTTTGTGACCCAGGCGCTGGGTGACCCCGGCGACTCCTCCGTACTCCGGCTGCGAGGTCGCATCAGACGCCGGCTGCTCCTCCGCGGCCTCACGCCCTGCCGGCGACGAGGACACAGATTGAGAAAGATCCCTTGGAAGACAGGTTTGGACCAGCCCGTGATCCCCTGATTCTTCTCTTGCTACAGGCCGATCTATCCAGGTGAGTAGACAAGAATATCCAGGTGAATACACAAGAACGTGAATGTATGCACAGATTACAAACGCATGCACAGATTACACTGATTACAAAACAAATCCATTACCAATGCATGCACAGATTACAAATGCTCCAGGAACTGATGCTCCACCAACTGATGATTGAGCCCTTGTTTCAAAGCTATCCCTATTCCTAGGAGTAGAGATTACAAATGCATAAAATGGAGCCACATATTACAAATGCTCCAGCAACTGATGCATCGATGGAGCCCTTGTTTCTTAGCTCTCACTATCCCGAGGAGTACTCCCTGCTCGAGCGATTTGTCAGCCCAGCGCTCGCTAAAGTTGTGATGCACCAATGAGTTCTGCATACATATTTTGTTATATTTTGCTAAATGAAAAATGCTCCACAAACATTTGATGCTAACAAGCTTATACATGTAAGTTTGACATGGTTAGGAATGATAGTCTACCTAGATTATAGAGGTAAATACACCCGAAGTCATAGAACTTGCATGCAATGGTCAGTTTGGTACACAAACTTGTAAAATACGTGTTTCTGGTCATCAAACTTGCACGAGCATTCATATACGGTCACATTTCATGTACACGAACGTATCCATGGCCTATGTGGCATTCCAGTGTGGCCAGGGCCCACTGTCATCCGCTGTAGCATCTAAATCTGCAGAGAAGCCTTTGCCTTTTTTTATTTTCATATTAAGCCCCTAAAAATAAAATTAAAAAGCAAACGATATGGGGTTTTGAAGCTGCAACGTGCCCTAGTAGTCTCACGTGTACAACCACCAGACTACTGACTATTCATGTCTATATAGCACGACTAATTTCTGTATCATATAAACATTGACTGAAAATAAATTTTACAAGAAATGTAACACGGAAAAAAATGAGCACCGTGGCTCAACCATGTGACCTTGTGGTCAAGGTTAACTAAGATTACCACCGACAACACAACACGTCCAGATGTAAGAAAACAATTTATATTCTTGTGTTTTTGACATTCAAAAAATATTTATGTGTTACAAAAAAAGGTATGCAACATTTTAAAAAGTTTCAAAAACTTGTATTTAAAAAAATGTTAATCAACACAACCTGTCCAGATTAACATTTTTTCAAATACAAGTTTTGAAATTTATGTGTATTGAAACATATACTCCATATGATACACATATGTTTTGATGTTTTAAATACTCCAGTATACATCTATGTTATGATATATATATATATATATATATATATATATATATATATATATTAAATACTCCAGTATACATCTATGTTTGGAGTATTTTAAAAAATATATGCTTAATACTTTTGAAACATATGATTAACATTTTTTTCAAATACAAGTTTTGAAACTTTTTTCAACTATCTTTTTAACATTTTCGGATGGTACAAAACATTTTTAAGCTACACAAACAGTTTTATACATTGTATAGGCATTTAAAAAATGTCATGACCAGTTTTTTTGGAATGCACGAACATTTTTAAAATGCAACGTATCATTTTTAATTACACAAATGTGGTTTACAATGTTTAAACATTTTTTTAAATGTCACACACCTTTTTTGTAACACATAAACATTTATTAAATATCACAAACACAAAAATATAATTTTTTTTCTTACATAGAACAAGAAGGAATAACAACATGAAAAATATTTATCCCATTTGGATATGTTGTGTTTTCGAAACCCGGTGGTAATCTTAGTTAACATTGATTACGAGGTCACATAGTCGAGTCACGGTGCTCCCTTTTTTGGGGTTACATTTCTTGTAAAATTGATTTTTCGGCCATGTTTATATGATATAAAAATTATTTGTGCTACCAAGACATGAATGATCATCGGTTTGGTGATTGTTAACCCGAGCCTAGTAGTGGCACGTCCCTAGTTCGTAACCGAACCATCCCTTGTTTTTCCATTTTATTTTAGGGGCTTTATACGTAAATAAAAAATAATTTTATTTTAGGGGCTTAATAAGTTAAAAAAAATAGGTGTATAATACCTAAATAAAGAAAAAGCCTGCAGATCTACCATGCGTCGCGGGCTTACGGTGGGCCCTGGCCATGCTGGCATGCCACATAGACCACGGATACGTCCGCGTACATGGAATGTGACCGTATATGAACGTTTGTGCAAATTTGATGACCAGAAACACGTATTTTATAAGTTTGTGCACCAAACTGACCGTTACGTGCAAGTTCTATGACTCCTGGTGTATTTACCTCTAGATTATACCGCCGTGTATGTGCTCCAACATCAATTTGTCTTGGCCATTTTGGTTCAGGAACTTGGTACCAACCAGAGAGAAATGTCCAGGGCATCTCCAGTACAAATCATCTCCACTTGTTTGAATGTATAAAACAGTTTAACTTCTTTCAGGTATAAATGGGAAATGCAAGTAGTAAGAGAAACAAACAGGGTGAGGCGAAAAGCGTGCCTCAACAATCTCTGCATGTGCAGATAGATAGACAAAGCAGTGCAGGTGCATGTACATATTTCATGTTTGTAGTCAATGGCGGATTAACAAAATATGTTATAATTTGTATATCTTCGTATGCTACAGAGGACATGGACGCGACAAGCCTCACCAGAACCGCTGTTCGTGATGACACAGGGTCTCCAGGTACATGGTCTTATGTTGATCCATGTCATAACTATCTAATGTACATGTGTGATCAAGCATTCGTATTTTCTTCTAAAAGCATCACAGATGGACATCCCAGCCTTATTCGTGACAAATCTAACTTTGACATACTTTCCCAAAACCTTACTGGAATGTTCAAGTGTATTATATGTGTCTTACGATTCTTGAAATTAATCAAGTCCTTTTCATGGAAACACACAGGCAACCACAAAGGAACAAAGGAACCTCACTTAGGAAATTTCCTTGAAACCCACCCACACCCTGAAGTTCATGTCTCGGAAGTTGACCATCTTGACGCGATTAGTGGAGGTATGGCTACACCTCAATTAAAAATACAACTTGTGTATGTTTGAATGGCGTCCAAGCTTGCTTTGTTTTGCTTCCATTCTTTCTTTCATCAAGTATGTGTATTTTCTACCAAACAGTGCTCGCAACAAGTGGCAAATCAGAAGGACCTAACAATGTAAATTCAAGAAGCA